TTGACATACATATATATATATATATATATATATATATATATATATATATATATATATATATATATATATTATATATATATATATATATATATATATATATATATATATATATATATATATATATTTATCTAATCCAGAATTCCAAATCTATAGACTCATAAAAATATTATATTAACCTAAATAAATGAATTTCTCATTTTACAGCCATTGTATTAATAATTTTTTTTTAATCTATTTATTGAATAATAACACAATCAGCCACTGCTGGAGGGCTGTAAGTATTAGGGCTAAGCGTTCTCATTCATACAATATATACACATAATAGAGAAATAAATATAAATATAAAAAGTAAATAAATAATACTGATGAATAAAGTAAATAAAAGAAAAAAAAAAGTAAACAAATAACATACAATAGAAACTTCTAAACACAATCATACCTATATACAATATATACATTCGCCTAGGAATCTCCGAGCCAGGCTTTTTCTCCCACATGTGGAAGGCAAAGCAAGACTCCAGGAGATACCAGTGCCACTTTTCCAACCGCATCACTAGTATTAGAATGTATTATTAATAGTTATTTATATTAATTTTGATTATTAAATAGAAGTAAATGAAATCGATACTTAGACAATTGCTGTACTATTTTTCAAATTTCCTCCATGTTTGTGTCAAATTGAATTGAGACTATAGGCTTTACTGATCCGAAAGTGGAATTCCTTTTTTTTTTTTTAAGTATTAGATAGAATTTGATAAAATTGATACATAAGTAATTATTTGTAATTCAATTCCTATAGTCCCTCCAAATTTGAGCCAAATCGAACGAGCGGTTTCAGAGTGATATACGTATCAAGGAAAACGCGTTTGCGCATATATATGAAAAAGTAGACGATGGAATTCAATGAAATCGATACAGAACCATTATTTTATCAAACCTCACCTTTCTTTTAACTTTGAGCTAATTCGAACGAGTGAAAAAACATTGACGATTGAGTAAGTGTAAGTGCTGGACAGAATTTAATAAAATTAATACGGGACCAATTTGCACAATCAATGAAAATTTTATGAAAATCGGATGAATGGTTGTAGGTATGTCCGTCACATCAATTTGACTAGAGACAAACAAATATGCAGACAGTGAACCAAATTTGATACTTGATGTCTGAAACGTAAAACGGGAATAGAAATTTTCGATTCTGAGAATACATCTTTTTTAACCTCTCGTACGAAAACAGTGCTACCTTCGATAGCGAGGAATTAAAATGTTACTTGATTACTTATACAAAATTTAAAGTAATTTGTGAATTTAAAAAAAAAATGAGAATTTTATTAAAATAATAAAAAACTAAATGATGCAAAAGTGATGTCTGGAAAGCAATGAAGTTATTCAGGCAACGTAAGTTTTTTAGTGGATCTCAAATAAAACCCCAAGAAATTGAGACCAGCCTTGAAAGAGAAACAATTCTTCTCTTCTCGAATTACGTCTAGAAAATTCACCTATACTCTATAAAAATAAAATAAAATTTTTAGGCATTACATTCGATCAAAAATTGGGTTGGAAACCACACATATCGACAATAAGATCGAACACTATCAAAAAATTAAATATTCTACGGTTTCTTAGTAGTACATCTTAGTAGGTTCGGAAAGGTTCAGCACGCTAAAATTATATCTAAGTTGGTCTGTGCAAAACTGGATTAAGGGTATTTTATTTACGGCTCTGCCAGTATTCAAACATTTGCAAAACTTGATTCAGTCCATTTTGCCGGAATCCGGATTGCAGCGGGTGCGTTCAGAACTAGCCCCATCCTCAGTATCTGTTCGGAAACCGGTTTACCTCCTCTAGTACTTAGAATAAAAAAACTCGCTTTAAATTACTTTTCCAAATTATTTGTACAGACAGACCATAGAGAAATACATTTTCCAACTCTAATTTTCAACAACTTTCCGATCGAAATCAAACTCAATCCCACCTTTGGCAGAACGATTTTTTAAAGTTATTGCAACACTCAAGAAAACTCCATTAACAAAACCAAAAACACAAAATTGCTCTGGACCTTAAAACCACCTAAAACAATATTAAACCTCTCCCACATTCCTTAAAACAATACCACCACTTCTGTGTATAAAGAAAAATTATTTCTGCTCCTTGAAAAGATTCCGGAACATTTTTTAACACATATAGATAGATCCAAGTCGCCCTGGCCTGCTTGATTGTTCACACAGCACTTACAATGTTAAGGCAACTTTCCGAATTTAATTCAAAAAGGCAAATAACTCTAATGAGTTATATTAAAGCAACATTAGACATTATCTATGCATTTGACTGTATTTTGATTGAAACTGGCAAGTTGTATGAATTATGCATATAAATACTCACTCATTTATACTGGCATATAAAAGTTACTTGGTATTTGAATGTAGAATGACGTCTTTCTCCGGACGGACTTCTATCTGGTCTCAGTGGCTGGACGTGGCTTGGAATGGGCTGAGAGAGTCTCGTGGCTCGGCCGGATCAAATCTTATCAATTAGATCTTATCAGATCTGTTTTATTAGAAAGAAGCCGCTTCGTTATGCCAGTAGTGCCATTGTTTGCTCTCCGTTAAGCAGAATTTTTAGGAATGTAGTCACTACATTTCAAGTATAAATAGAATAAGATTGACCCCAAATTTGTATATAGCCCTTAATGACAATGAAACTTCAGTTTCATTGGTATTTGAATTTCTAATAACACAGAAATTGCTTTCTAAATTATAGCATTTTTATAGTATTATTCTTCTTAAAAGCCTACTATTTTTACTTGTCATTTCATTTCATCCTATATTTTTATAACTTTTGTAGATAGTTTTCTATAGTGTTATTTTTTTATCAATAATATTGTCTGAATTCTCTTACAAACGTATAGTTGAAATAAACAACAAACAAACAAACATTCGTAATAGCGATTATAGCTCGTTCACATCTTATAACATAAATTTCTGGTTCTGGTCACTTCGATCTATTCATTGGTATTTTATCTGCTTACTTATTTAGATTTGCAAATTTAATAAAACATTTTAGACTATATAGTTTCGAAAAAATACTCACATTATGTTTTAAATTTAAATACACCTCCTGTCCTACAGTATCCTTTAATAACTCGGCACTTATCCCAGTTGAACAAATCCGTTACCTAAGAGTCCACTTCGACAAACTACTTACATGGAATCCTCATATAAGACTGAAACGATAAGAAACCGCTTAACGTTTCGGACTACTTCAACACTTACTAGACAAACGCTCTAAGCTTTTAATCAATTAAAAACGACTCATATATATATATGACAATAATAAGGCCTATTTGGACTTACGGTATTGAGCTTTGGGGCTCCACTAAACAATCGCATTCCTCTCGTATCCAATCTTAACAATCCAAAATCCTTAACATCCTCAACGCTCCTTACTTTGTCACAAATAAAATCATCCATAGAGACCTTAATGTTCCATATGTTTCCGATTTGGCCCAATCCAGATACCTATCCTTCCATAACAAACTGCAGAACCATCCGAACCATCTCGTTTCAAACCTTGCTTCCTCCTAGATCTCTGATAACCCTCCGAGGCGTCTAAAAAGAAGATGGCCTCGTGATCTACTAATGTAAATATGTTATTAGAGTGCTACCAATGGGTAGTTTCTCAATGAGCGTTTTCACGTGATTGTAATTCAATTAAATTCAACTGTGTGCAAATTCAACTAGTAAATGTGCACACAGCAATAAGTGTGCACATTTACTAGTTGAATTTTTTTATAATACAGTAGTAAATATCAATAAATAAAAAAAATTAAATAATATCATACACGTACTATCTTATCCTTCAATATTTCATGTTCTATATTTTTTTGCAGTTCGGCACAGCTCGGAAATTTCTTCTGTCCTTCCAATCTTGGCAGGAATTCCCCAAGGTTCAATACCAGCCTCTACTTTACAAAGTATACACTTACGATATACCTATTATCGATGAGATCTTGACAGCTGTTTATGCAGACGATACAACATTTCTCGCATAACATCAAGGCCCTACACAAGCATCACTAACTCTAAATCACTTACTTAAATTACAAGGTTGGTTCACACCATGGAAAATTCGACTTAATCATGACAAATCCAAACATACAACACTTACTCTTCGAAAAAAAAACTTGCCCTCTAGTTTATATTGTCAACAATAAAATTCCTCAAATAGATACGATACATTACCTTGGACTCATCGACATAAGAATAATATAGTGCCTGCATGTTAAAATGAAACGTGATGCACTTAATAAACAACTCAAACTACTTAACTCTCTTTTTTGTTCAATTTTCGAAACTAAAACTAAAACAGAAACTGAATACATATACATACTTTCTTAAACCCATATGGACGTACTCATCACAAATATACGGTATCACTAAAAAGACCCACCTAAAAAAACTTCAAATCTTCCTATCAAATTTATTGCGGCACATAACAAAAGCACCTTGGTACGGACTAACAAAACTCTACATACTGACCTCCACCTTCCAACAGTTGACCAAGATATAACGACCCTTTATCAATGATTTTACACTAATTTAAACGGACATAATAACAGACTAATTACAGACATGGCCACAGCAGACATACCTCAGAAAATGAGGAGAAGACTAAAACGGCGTTGGATAAGAGATCTCTTTCCTTAAACAGCATAAGTAATTGGAACAAGTTAGGGAAGAGGTACTGCTCAATACTTTCCTTCCTGTCATGTTATTATTTCCTGTGTCGCCATCACTTTTGCTGTTTGTCAACAATAAGTTGACAGGCGCAAATACATTTTTTTTATAGAAAAAAAATACTATCGCGATATTTTTATAGTATAAATGAATATCTTTGTTTAATATTTTTAAAATTTTCTTTTTATTACTCTTAAATTGTTACGAAAATTGTTAAATTGTAATGAATTAAAAAGAATCAAACTCAAAAAGTTTTATTTATTTATTTCAGGTTACCAGAATATCCTCGGAAGAAATCTTCCAGTGATCGTGTTCATACACGGTGAGTCTTTTTCATGGAACTCCGGAAACGCTTACGATGGTTCGACACTCGCCAGTTACGGCAATGTTATATTCGTGACGCTGAACTTCAGACTCGGAGTACTTGGTAAGTTATGATAACTTAGCATGCTAATAGAATTTGTAATTGAATCGGCTATCGTAGAAATGAAAAATGTGGATTTAATGATTTTGAGAAAAAAAAATACAAAACGATATTATATTGAAATTTTAGAAGATAAAAAAACACGATAAATAAATCGGGTGCATATTTTAGAAATATAAAATTATAAATATTTATTGTTAGTAGTTGTCAAAATAAAAATACTAATAATAATAATGATGGAAGGAAGTCTATACTAAGTGAATTTCTAAAAATATATAAAAAAAATTAATTTTATTTATTTCTTTATATGATATTTACAACTGTATACAACAAATACATCTGGTAAATTCGCACATGGGTATAATGGCATGGAACACATGTTGAGAAACTACCCATTGGTAGCACTGTAATAATATGTCTATATTAGAAGATCACGTGGCCATCTTCTTTTCAGACACCTCGGAGGGTTATCAGGAATTGAATAGGAAGCAAGGTTAGAAACAAGACGGTTGGGATCGCTATGAAGATTATTATGGAAGGTCAGATATCTAGATTGGGCCAAATCTGATACATAAGGAACATTAAGGTCATTATGGATAATTTTATTTGTAACAAAGTAAGGAGCATTGAGGATTTTACAAAGGATTTTGGATAGTAAGGATCGGATGCGAGAGGAATTTGAAGGTTTGGTGGAGCCCCATAGCTCAACTCCGTAATTCCAAATAGGCCTTATTATAGTCATGTAAATGAGTCTTTTATAATTGATTGGAAGGTTAGTGTTGAAGTAGTCGGAAACGTCGAGCTGTTTCTTGTCGTTTCAGTATGGTATGAGTATTCCAAGTTATACGTTTGTCCAGATGGAGTCCTAGGTATAAAAATTTAAAATATTATTAATTAGATTTATTATTAGAAAATATAGAAAGATACGGAGTAAATAAATTAATAATATTAAATTATGAATAATTAAAATTATCCTTAATATTAAAATTTGCAGTATAAACTAAAGAGAAAAAAAACTACAATTATTAGAAAAATTATAATGGAAAACAAAATTAACTATTAGTATTCAGGTACTAAGTTCTTTGAAAATAGTCTCAATATGATGTGCACACTAGTGATGTGGCTTTCAATATATTAAAAAAAAATGTGTAATTCTTATTTTTTGGAAAAAATATTCTTTCTCTAGTAAAATTTTAATGTAGATATTATGTATCTTTTCATCTCTAAAAAATTGAAAAATCGAAAATTGAGTACACTATGAGCGGAATGATAGTGAAGTAAATGCGGAAAAAAAAAATGAAAAGTGGAATATGACGTATCTGTATTGAAACTATCAGACAAAATTATCAAAATATTTCAATGTCAATCGTCCTCGTAGTTGTATAAGTTCATCTAGTGTCTGGATCTGATTGAGATCCTTTCTGGTTTTTTTCATTTCTTTTAGTTTTTCCCTTTCGGTTATCCTCTCGGCGACTCTTCAAGTCCTGCTGGGGAGGGAGTTGTTCTTGTCTTACAACCAAACCTATTCTAAGCAGATGAGATTGAGGACGTCGAGTCTTATTCCTGATAAAATAAATTTCAGCCTGCACAACACGAATTCAAATCTCTAGATTCGGTAATGCGAAAGCAGAAAATGTTGCTCGTTCATCATTCAGAGATTTGTACACTTCTTATAAAAAAAAAAATGGAGAAGTAATTCGATCAACCGATTTCAGATTACTTTAACGAATTAGTGATTGCATCTCAGATAGTTGTAGCAATAATATATTTAGCACTATATAAAAAAATATATTCTAAGACTAACGGGCAAACAGACTCCTTAGACGAAGACTTGGAAGAGCGGCTGGTTGCGATTTGGCGATAGTCCAATGGGAGTCCTCTCTGGCCAAGTCCAGTTTTGTTTTTCTCTTTCACTACATTACATCTGCTATCTCTCGCCTCACTGACTGTCTACCAGATGGCTCTGCCTTCGATTCAGGCCTCCTTTTCTCTCCTCGCCCCCCTTATTGTCCTGGAAGAGGAGTTTCTAAAATCTATACTTCATTAGTATTGATTATAATCATTTGGCAGAAGTGTGTTTGTATTATTTCATACTTAACATTTCCACGTTGTATGTTAGTCTGATTATAAAATCATTTATCTTTAACTATATGGTCATTGAGCTATTCAGGTACATCAATTTTATCTTTCATTTTACAAAAATAAAAAGTCTTCTTGTTTAAACGATCTGGAAATGTACCAATAATTTGACCTTCAGGAGGTCACGGAAGGTGCTTGATCTAATGAATATCGAGGAAAATCAATCACCATTGCTTTGGATTTAGATATGGCTTTCTTTGGCTCTTGATGAGGAGAACAAGACTTGAGTCCGTTGAAACTTTGAAAGAAAAAGCGGCTCGTATCCTTTAGAAGCTGACAGAGAAGACTTCCATCACTTTTTCATATAAAGGAAGATTCCATAGACCGTTGTAGGAGTTGAGGAGGAGTGTATATTGTAGGTGACAAAAAATAAATACGAATAAAATCAAAATAAATGTTTTACATCATCAGTCTCGGTAATAGCCCCATCATGTAATTATGATAGACACTATTTTAATTCTAATTTTTTTTTGTTATTCATACCTACTCTCTACCAACCTTGTTTAGTAGGGGTGTATAGCTTAACTGTTATTACTTTGGTACAATTATCTATTTTTCAATTTCACCAAAGCTTCCATTTCTTAGTCTCATTTTTCCACATCATTTAGTCCTCTTTTACAATCTTCCGACCTCGCGGGATCATTTGAAGCAATTTATAGATTTGTATTTATCATTACCATTCTTATTTGGCCTTCATTTATCTGTTCAATGGCCATTGACAAAAAAAAAAAAAAAAAAAAAAAAAAAAAAACTGTACCACTACAACCCATGAAGGGTCTTCTGTTCAGTACTATTTAGGAAAAACACTGTTTCTTGGTCTACGGTTGTGCAAGGAGGTGATTTGACCGAGATCATGCTCAACCGCCAGGTTTTTCCCCTTAATTAATTATTTTGATTAAGGGTAACCACTATAAAAAGGCTAGGTGTGCCCCACGAATGTCTACCTACCCAGGGTAGCCCCACAGACCATGAAACAGAATAAATAATTTTTCTGCCATGAGCCGAGATTCGAACCTGGGACCTTTAGCATTGGGAAGCTCAGTACCCTAACACTGAGCTACTCCACTCCCTCAATGGTCATTGATAACTACCTAAATATCTTGGTAGTTGTAAAGTAGCAAGTTATTTCATTACTATACACCACTTTGACGGCTCACAACCGTGCATAATTTTTTCAATTAGAACATTTTTTTTTCCTTAGTTTAAAAAATATTAATTTTAAGTTTGAAAAATTTAAATAAATTAATCTCTCTAACTAAAATATTTTATTGAAACCTTAGCATGATCTCACCTGAAACACCTACTAACTGGCCAACTTCAAGACAGAAAACACCAGACCTACTTCATTTTTTCGTCACTAAAGGGCTAAGGACTGTACCATATATTATAAATGCAAGTTGAAGAAGCTGTGGATAAATTCACAAACAGCATTCATCAAGCTACATTATCTTCTTCTGTCCCAAGATCCAACAGAAATGAGTGGCTTCCAACATATTCTCAGTACATAAGAGATTTGATCAGGGCTAAGAGACGGCCTCGCAAAGTATGGCAAACTGGTCGACCCCCATCTGACAAACGAACTTTCAATAAATAAACAATGAACTAAAACGACATATTCAAAGTTTTAAAACTACAATTTACGATAACTACCTCAAAAATCTCTCTACAGACGATGATTGCTTATGGAGGCATACAAAAAAAATTGTAAAAACTTAATCTATTATTATATCAGTTTTAATTTGTACAAAATCCTTAGTAAAGGGTCGTGTTATGTTGTTAAACTGCTGAGAGGAGAAGGTTAGTATGTAGATTTTTTTAGTCACGCACCAAGGTGTTTTTGTTATGAATCGCAATAATTTTGATTGGTATGTTTGAAGTTTTTTGTAGGTTGGTATTTTCAGCGATACGGTACCTCTGTGATGAGTAGGTACATATGAGTTTAAGTATGTTTATGTATTTAGTTTCTGTCTCAGTTTCAGTTTTAGAAAAAAATAGGGTAAATTAGTTATAGCCTTTTTTTAGCAAATTTATTCACGACGAATCATTTTCCAGGAGCACCTTTCGTACAAATCTCCATAAATATTGTTAGTGTCCCCTGGACACAGCTAGTATTTTTATCTCCTTTCTTTTTTCGAAGTGAAAAATTATGATACATGTACGAGATATCTGCGACTCCGGTACAAATACAGCTTGTAGCTCGATTTTCGCTCAGTAGAATTTTTTATAGATACTACGTTTGTAGAATTAAGGCTCTGATAGGGAAAATGGTGAAAAATTGAACGTCGTTATAAATCCAAACACGGACGTATTCCTCTTCAAAATAAGAAAGGAGATAAAAGGACTAGGTGAGTACGGGGGAGATGAGGAGGGGTGGGGGTGCACTAAACAATATTAATGGTGCTTAGGACGAGAGGTTCTCGGAGGAAATGGTGCTGAGATTCGCAAATAGATTAAGAGTTAACCTTGAGGGGAACTAGCCGGCTGCATGAAGAAACTCCATTTGTAAAGACAAGGCAATCTGAGGAAGCCGCACTCCAAATCCTGATTTTCTCTAATGATATCTTTCTTCTCCTTCAGCGGCCTATCTTGTAAATATTTAGTATTTTTATCTTGATTGTGGTGTTACACCTTCGAGAGTAAAAAATCGCGGATACATGAAATGACCTTAACAGTCACTAGTCGATCCAAGATTTAATTCTGGAAGCTTGCTTTTTTTTTTTTAATAAAATAATGATATCCATTATTTATTCTAGGACAAATCCCTTTAAAATAAAATAACTCATTTTTCTAAAATAATATTTTTAAATTATTTTCAGTATAGATAAATGAAGCATTTCTTTTATGTAATAGCTCAGAGAATATTT